GACTTTTTTTTATATTTACACATCACAATTGATTTAAAAGGAGAAAAAAACAAATGTAATTGGAGGCCATAGAGAACTGTCACATTACCTTAACTATATAAATGCTTTATATTATAAATAGTTATAAATGTTTTAGGATATTGATTTCACAACTTTTAGTATCTACACCGTTAGAAATCATAAGAAAGTTTACCTACATTATTCATAGAAACTTGTGCTTTATTATTTAATTTATAATTGTTTACTTCAATTATTGATTTAATAATAGAGAAAAGACAAAGTCACAATTAAAGTTGTCCCGTATTTGCATAAAGACATCTTAACTTTGAAAGTGTCCTATCACCCTACATAACTATTTAATATCTTTGTAAATGGGCCATTTTGACCCATTTCCTCGTCTGGGTTGTTACCACGCACATGAGGCGCGTGAGACAGTGTTTTCACTGCCATTAACCAGCTATAAAGTGCCACGTGTCATTTTATTTCTTTATTATTAATTATTTAATTAATTTACATCATCTTCCCCAAATTTAAAGAGAAAAGAGCTGTTGGTAGCCCTAAAATCGATTTCAACTTTTTTTTCCAAAGCAAGCTCAACGTTGGTGCTCTCTCTTTGACGAATTCATTCTTTTCCATTATCTTCTTCACCCAAATTCAAAAACCCAATTACCTTTTCTTCATCTTCTTCAACTTAGAAGATCCATTTACTTCATCCATTTTTTATCACTTTTTTTCTTGTCTCTTGCTTTTCTTTGTTTCTTTTTCTTCTTTTATCCTTTTTTTAAAAACAAAAACAAAAACAAATGTGAACTCCATTATTCGATTGATTAGAGAGTACTATGAAACTCCATTTTTATTCTTATTTTTGGCCTGAATATAGAACTCCATTACCTTGCTTTAGTAACTTGAGAGTTGAATTGATTTTTTTTAGTGATGATTTAGTGACGGAAATAGTGTTGTAACAGGGAAGCATCATGGAGGCTACGTTGAAGGCGACAATGGTGGCTACTTTTGGAGGATTTACAGCAAAGAACAAAGGATTTGAGTAATGAAGGTTGAAGAAGAAAGAAGAAAAAAATGAAAATAAAGTTAATAAAAATAGAAAAAATGAAAATGAAACTAAAAATTAAGAGTTAAACAAATTTAATACGTGGCAGACAACAATTGGCGCGTGATTGCACTTTTTTTCTTGCAATTGAGGTTTGGCGAAAAGTGGGATGTTTATAACACTCTTAAATTGTTTATGGGGTACTAGGACCCCCACAAAATTCAGGTGTCTCTTTTGAAAAACAAGTTTTAAATTGTTCAATGGGGAAATAGGACAACCACAAAGTTCAGGTGTCTTTTTAAAAATTCGAGACAACTTCAGTGGTGACTTTATGTCTTTTCACTTAATAATATTGACACTATTTTTAAAATAGTGTTCTACATGATTTGATATTCACGTGCAACACACGTATATCAAAACTAGTGATTTTGATAAGAACTAAATGGCATGTTCTATTTTTGGAAAATGCTTTCATAGAAGTACCTACGGTTCATAAAGAAAAAGTATAAATGGGAATAGACCTTGATGGATTCCGTAGCTAACGGCGGGTGTGTTAGATCTGGTGCACCTTGTATTTACAGTTACTCATATAGCCCTCGCTAGTGGGAAGGTAGAACTAGCATACCGTTACTGATCTCCTCAAGTAGGAGATCAAGTAGGGACCTACTGATATGGATATTTGACTCATTTATAAGGGGTCCACTGTTATTAGTCATATCTTAAGTAAAAAGCCACACACTGATTACATGATTCATTCTTGGAAACCTCCCAATATAAGATTTGATATGACAGTGTCTACTAAATTTATTACTAAATGGTTAAGTTGATTTTGCTTACATGAAACAAAAAAGATTGATTATTGTTATCGTTTTTCTAAAAGGGCATTTATTTCATGATTTTGATTATCATACTAGCATATTTTCTGACTTGTCCCTCATTAAAATGGTTGTGGTTAAAGTGTGATAACTCACTGAGCTAGCGTCTCACTCCCGCTAAATGTTTTTACAGAGAACACAGGTGACATTGGCGATGATTTCATTAACTAGAGCTCACGAGTTGAAAATCCATAGTGACGTGTTATGGACCTTTTTTTGAACTTTGAGTCACTCCATAGTCACTCCTTTTACTTGAGTCATGAGTATTCTTTCGTTTTTTAGACGTGTGACTAGTATTAAACTTCTTTCCATATTTGGAGAGGAATTAGTATTTTCTGCAAGTTTCTGTTAAGGCTTGCTTTGAGGTTCTACCCCCTTAGCACCGGTCACAATCTTGGACTGGGTCGTGCCAGATTAATGGTAATTTTAACCAATTGAAAAGGAAACAAAATTGGTAATCTTGTCTTCCACGTCCACAACAGTACATAACAAGTCTGTCAACAAACACTTGCACACTTTCTTCAAGAACTTTCTCATTATTATTATAGGACGTTGATATCAAAGAAATAGTTTTGGATGATTTATGAGTTCCATGTAGAATGCTGAGATACTGAGGCCCATATACCTAAAGTATTCCTCAATAACGAGAAGTATTGTTCTGCATAATCTTCTACTCACGGTGGTTAATGTTAGTAAAAAATTGCTGCTAGTAAATTGCTGTAGACAAAGCACAGAGGGAATAACTAGGAAGTGATGTTTAGGGAGATTCACGAGAGAGATTGAAGTATACACAGCATCAGAATTAAGCAGACATATGAAGAATACTATATTAAAGGAAAGAACTCCACGCAGCTAACTTATAAGAAAGGACAATTCAAGTGAGCTGAGAAAAAGAACCTGAGTTATTATGTTTGGAAGCATGTTCAAAGGGAACCTCAGAATTGCGAAGAGAGAAAGTGATGAAAAAGCTCTGGAAGCTGTCAAATTTCCACCAAGCAAAGTGAAACCTCCAAATGAAATCACTGTCACGAGAACGGGGATGCTGTTCAGCATGAAATTGTTGAACTGTTGATAGAGAAGGAAAGAAAAGAAACAATGAGAAAAAGAATGATCCGCATCTCAAGCAATATATGCAAAGTCATTTGTGTCAAGGTCCCCTATCAGGTCATGTAGAGAACATGTCAAACCATCATTATGCAAAACCTAATTCTCCATCACTAAAAGATAACCCGGTTCATTATTCCTCTACCATGTCCTATTTTCACAATGCTTACCCACCAGATTATTCCAGTTGTTTGGTTTGTGCTGATTCTGTTGCTTGTAGATAGCTTCAGAAGTGTCTAATTAAAAACTCTACGTAAAATTCTCGAAAGTTAAAATTCTCTTAAAGATCAGGATTTCTGGAAAACCTTGACAATTACTGGATCATATCGTTTCAATGAAAAGATGAGGCATATAAGGAACCAAATGCTGAGGTGTCACTCCAAAACAAAAGAACTTTCTTGAGACTAATTTAGTTTGATTCTATGCACAAGCGGGTTATAACATACCGCTGCCAATAGCTGTGCTTTCCTGAACCAAGAAAGTTCACCATTCCTCAATCCTTGGACTTTAGATTGGAAGCTCTTCTCCCATGCGTAACATCTATATCAATCAGCAGAAAATCAAACCCATTTTCAAATTTTCTGAAAAAGGAAGGGAAACAGAAGGAAAAAAGATAAAGCAAAAAACCATACTTCACTACATCCATTGCAGCAAGTATTTCATTAGTTAGACCAACCCTTTTGTCAGTATATTGCAATCCTTCTTTGGATAGTTTTCGCATATAGCTAACAATAATTGTCTGCACCAAAAGGATAAACACATATGTTTTAGAGACCAGTTGAAAAAGGAAATTGCATAGTGTTGTGGTTGATAACAGTTTGAAATGACTAAGATTGAGACATTGAGTAAAATAATGAAGCTTCAGATCTATAGTTTATTAGTGCAATGTGGGCTTCTTTTATGAAGTGATCAAATTTATTAATTGAAGATGGAATTTCCTGCATAAATGCATAAAGAGAGTATTGTATCTCATACAAAAGCATGATTCTCAATTAAAAACACCCTATGATTTATATATTTATAGGTGTTCCAAAAATGAAAATAAAAAAGTAAAAGTTCTGTTAAAGAATGACAAAAGTCCCACATTGGTAGTTAATGAGATGAGTGGGCTCCTTATATGGCTTGGACAAACCTCTCCTCATGAGCTAGATTTTGGGGTGTGAGTTAGGCCTAAAACCTAATTTAACATGGTATCAGAGCCACAAGGCTTTTTTTTCAGCCCTCTCTCTTAATGTTCTCTGCAGTAACAAAAACTGAAGAAAAAAAAAAAAAAGGAGGGATCGATCAATAGCTGTTAAATCAATCATATCAGATTCACTTCATTCTCACCTCCCTCTTTCTTCTCTCTTTCTCCAGGTCATTTAAAGTTTGTCTAATTTCTTTCTTTCTTACATTTGGTTGTCTACTTCTTTGTTTCTCCATATCTGTTGAAGACGCTTACTTTCTTACTTCATCAGTACTTCTCTTGTGACAAATAAAAATGCCTCATAACCAAACTGATAATCAGATTACTCCAAATCAGATTGTTAAGTCAATTGTTTCTTCTACACCATCACTGGTAATTACTACGGTAAAGTTAGATGGTAGTGGTAATTACACCTCCTGGGAAGCCTCTGTAGAATTGTGGTTTATAGGTCAAGGATTTGAAGATCACTTGCTCAAAAACAGTAGTAATATTGGAGCAACTGATAGACCTGCTTGGGTTAAAATTGATGCACAATTGTGTAGTCTTCTGTGTAATTCACTTGATCCTAAGTTGTTAAATTTATTTCGGTCTTGTAAAACTTGTTGCAAAGTGTGGAACAAAGCCAAAACTCATTTTCAAAGTTGTGTCAGATATTGTTCATTTACAAAGGCAACTTATTTGGGTCAGGTAGAATCCTTAAAGGATAAATTTGATTCTCTTATGCCTTCTACTGACAAATTAAATGAGCAGGAGACACAAAGAGACAGGTTCTTTGTTTGTGACCAAATCCTTTCTAGCCCATCTATTCCTACCTTGGAAGAAGTAATTGCAAGATTACTAGGCATCACATCTGCACCACCAGAGGTAAATTCTTATGATGCATCTATCATGGCTGTCCAAACTAACAATTTCCAAGGTGGATACAGGAAAGGAAAATGGAGGAACAATAAACATTGCACTCATTGTAATAAGGGAGGACATATACGAGAGGAATATCGACTTCCCCTCTTACATTGTACTCATTGTAATAAGGGAGGGCATATAAGAGAAGAATGTTGGCTTCTTCATGGTAAGCCTCCACACAATAAAGATCGTCCTCGACACACAGCAAATATTACTCATAATGGAGATGGTATTCTACCTATACCTAATGCCAAGGATGGATCATCTCAATCAATCACATTAACTGGAGCAGACTATAATGACTACCTTCAGTACCAAACATCAAGGCAACAATTATCAACCTCATCGGCTGCTTGCACAGCACAATCTGGTAACTCCTTTGCTTATGTCGCACAATCTTCATCTCAGGGACAATGGATTCTTGATTCTGGTGCTTCTGACCATATTTCTGGTAACAAAAATACTCTCTCTACTCTTACTACCCCTTCTACCTTCTCTACTGTTACTTTGGCTAATGGATCAAAGACTATTGTAAAAGGGATAGGTGTAGCTCACCCTCTACCTTCTATACCTTTAAAATCAGTCCTTTTTGCAAAATGCCCATATAATCTTATTTCCATTAGCAAATTGACAAAAAAAACCTGAAATGTGATGTAACCTTCATTGATGATTCTGTTATTGTGCAGGATCGGAGTACGGGACAGATGATTGGAAAAGGACATGAGTCACAAGGATTGTACCTGCTATCTATTCCAACACCACATGTTGCTTTCACTTCCGCTGTTTCTTTTGAATTGCTCCATAGTCAATGGGGTCATCCAAGTCTCTTGAAATTGCAGAAGATGGTCCCCTGTTTATCTAGTTTATCTTTGTTAGAATGTGAGTCGTGTCAACTTGGGAAACATACTTGTGCCTCTTTCCCAAAGCGCATCAATAATAGGGCTACCTCTATGTTTGAAATTGTTCATTCTGATATATGGGGTCCAAGTTGTGTCAGTTCTTCCTTAGGCTTTCATTATTTTGTTACTTTTATTGATGACTATTCTCGATGCACATGGTTATTTTTAATGAAGAATAGATTTGAGTTATTCTCTATCTTTCAGAAATTTTGTGCTGAAATTCACAATCAATTTGGTATTTCCATTAAGAAGTTAATCAGTGATAATGCCCGAGAATACTTCTCTACTTCTCCCTCTTCTTTTATGTCATCCCAGGGCATATTGCACTTGTCTTCTTGCGCACATACTCCTCAACAAAATGGAGTTGCTGAGCGAAAGAACAGACATCTAATTGAAACAGCTCGGACATTGCTCATTCACAATCATGTCCCTTTACGTTTTTGGGGTGATGCCGTTATTATTGCTTGTTATTTAATCAATCGCATGCCTTCATCTGTTTTGCAGTACCAAAGTCCACACTCAGTCCTCTATCCGGACCAAAATTTGTTTCCTCGTCCTCCACGTGTGTTTGGTTGCACCTGTTTTGTCTTAATCTTACCCCTGGAAAAGATAAACTTCAGCACAAGGCTTTCAAATGTGTCTTTCTCGGGTATTCTCATCTACAAAAAGGTTACAAATGCTTTGATCCCTCTACTAATAAATACTTGATCTCTGCATATGTTACTTTTTTCGAGACTTCTCCGCATTTTTCTCCTAATACGAAAAATCAAAAGGCCATATCAGTCCTTCCAATTCCAATTATTCCAATCCCAGCTCCACCTCCGACTCTTAAGGTCTATTCCCGACGACCTCAACCTCCTTCTGAGCCTCCTAATCCAATTAGTATTTCTAACTCTGATACAGGTACACAAAGCAATCCCGGTGACTCATTACTTGCTCCAACAACGTCTTCTACTTCGGTCGAGCACTTATTAGATGATCTTCCCATTGCTCTTCGCAAACGTACTAGAACTACTGCCAATCAAACTCCCATTTATGCTTATTTAAGTTATCATCGTCTGTCACCATCATATCATGCCTTTCTCACTAGCTTATAATCAATTCAAGTTCCCCATATCTCTTCTTTTCTTCTTCTAATTTCTCATGGTATCAGAGCAGGGCCCCTCTCACCCAATGTTGGGAGCCCAAAAATCAAATTGCTCACGCACCAGATGCTAAGCACTGGGTTGAGGTGGGGTGTTAAAGAATGATAAAAGTCCCACATTGGTGGTTAATGAGATGAGTGGGCTCCTTATAAGGCTTGGACAAACCTCTCCTCATGAGCTAACTTTTGGGGTGTGAGTTAGACCTAAAACTTAATTTAACAAGTTCTATCGCCAGCCTCTTCTACTTTCTCGAAGATAGCATGTCTTTAACACGACTGTTAGATAGTTATTGGTCGTTGTTTCTGGTTAAGAAGTAAATATTCATGTATTAAAATCAACATAACTAATACTACGTTTGGTAACATTTAGTTGTTGTGTACAGAATTCAACATACCAAGTGTGTGTTTGGTTACCGGTTTACAATCCCACGTAACTAATACATGTACAAGTCATGAGGGAATCTATGTATAATCTTATGCATGGTGAAGATGGAATAACTAAACCCTGCATAATTAAACTCTCCATTACTAATCCCTTTATAACTAATCTTTGCATTTTTAATAATTTCATAACTTAAACCAAAAATCACACCACCCCTTAGGTATTTTAGTGGACTTTAGTGTCCCATAATGGAAAAGGTGTATAATATACAATGTAGAATTACTAGAATATAAGTACAAACAGGGTTATAACTCAAACTTGGAGGAAGAATAGACTACCTGCATTGGGATCATCAATACTAGCATAAGAGCACCCAGAAGTGAAGCCAGACCTAGTTGCTGGTAAAGAAGAACCATGGCAATGACAATCCGAAATGGAGCTGACCATAAAACATGAAGCTGCTGGCATACTTGCTGAACAAATTAAGAATCATATTAGCCCTTATCCAAAAAAAAGTGATTAACCTCCATGAAAAAACCACAATTTTTCTAGTCATCTGTAATGCATGTAAATAGTAGCCATACAATCTTGTCTAAGATCCTACACGAGATACCCAGAAGCAAAGACTTCAACTAAAAGCCTTGGGTTCCATTAATTGCTAATAAACAATTTGGAGGCAGCTGTTTTATATTGTAGTCCATCATTACGGATGTTAAATAAAGCCAATATATCATTTTAATAGATTCTTCATAAGGAAAATATAATAACATAGCCATAGATCATTATAAGAGTAAGTTAAATATCGGGATGTGTGAGAATCAGATCATTGACTAGTTGCTGAGACTAAACAAAGGGATTTTTTAAATAAACGTGTCACAAGCTTTCTCTTCTTTTTTTCGTAAAGTTTTTGTAAAAATAAAATTAAATTCGATTTTCTCTCCTATTCTACAGCGGCGAAGAATATACCTTTGACTTGCATAAGGAACAATATTGAAATAGTTGTGAATAATATTTGGAAAAGAAAAAATTGTATCATCATATCCAGGGGCGTATTTAGAGGGGGTGCCGTGGGTTCACGTGAACCCATGCTCCCCTCTCTAGATCATATATAATAGTGTTATATTTTTAAAAAATATTTAAATATAGATGTGTGAACCCACGTTTAAAGTATCATATAATAATACAAAATGATTGAGTGCACCTCTCTAAGTAAGGATAAAGATTTAAGTCTTATATCTATCTTGTCCTTTTGAGTAACACCTCCCCAATTGGTTATCGATTATACTTTTGACGTTTCAACTAATTTTTCTTTTGTTTTTTCCTTTAATCTTTCAAAAATTTCAAGTGCCTTACATTGGAAGTTCCTAAAAACTTTGCACTATAAGATTTTTATATAATTAAATCAAATGTGTATATTAAAATTTAAAACTAATAGTATTATATATTTTGGACCTATAATTTTTAAAATTTAATGGTTCATATTAAGAACCTAAAAGTCAAAACTTATCAAATTTATATTTAAGATGCATTTTTTCGTATTCGTGCACCCATCTTGACGAATTCCTGGATACGCCTCTGATCATATCATCATCATCACACAATACTAAAAGTGGGAAGCTCCTAACTTCAAAGTTGTATTACAATTTTACCCGTAAATATCTAATTTGCAAAAAAGAACATAGTTAGGTGGTAATTGGGATCATATTAATGGTGAATTATAGAATTTATTTACACAACCTTTTCACCTCCTATATTATCTTTATTCCAAGCTAAAGATATAGATCAAACTTTCCGCATTTCATCTTCCATATATTTAATTGAAACTTATTTCTCCATTAACCATTGTATGTACTTATCCATATCATATTTTATGAATTGAAATAATATGCGATAAATAGCTACCAACATAAAATCAATCATGTATAAGTTTTATAAAGTAGTAAGTGATAAACGTGCAACGCACGTTCCCAGAGACTAGTATCATTTAAAATATTGAATAACAAAATAAATTTCAATTCTTGAAACTTGTGAAAGTTGTAGAGAATGCTTGTACTTCAAATGTGTTGGATATTTGTTATATTCCCAAATAGAAAGCATAACATAACATGGGATATAAGGGAGTACTAGTTTCAATTTCAACATAGAACATTTAGTCGAATATGTAAATCTGAACTTATCTCTGCTGTCATTCATATTTTGCACTACTAATATTTGGTCCCACACTTAATTACTAGTAAACTGAACCTTTCTTTCATGCCTTATCTAAATTTTCTATCATGTGGCACCATTGTACACATTGAAAGGAGGGATGGAGACATAAGAGATTCTTGTTTCATGCATACCTGAAGTGCATTAGCATCTGTTGTGATCATATTTGTAATTTTTCCAGATGGAAACTGCTTACGGTCTTCAAGTGTTAATCTTACAGCTTTGCGGAATATGGCTGCGACCTTAAAGCAAGAAAATATGATTTTTATTAAACTCACCCGCAAAACTTTCAAAAACAGATTAGATGTGATCCTCTATACAACTAAAAGATAGAGAAAAATACAGCTCAATATCTTTGGGCCATTAAGTTTACAAAATATGTACACAATGTATAGGTAGTGTATACTTCATATTAATATACGTATACTATTTTTTTTTATGACAAATATACATATACTATACATACATACATATACATATACATATATATATACATATCTTACATACCTATACATATTTATACAAACCTATACATATAGTATACATATATATACACAACATATACAACCATGTGTATATTTAGTGTATACTTCGGCCTTTTTTGGTACACTAGATGGCCGAATAGTATATATCGGAAACTATCCCATTAAGATATACAGCTTAATATTTTATAGGCAATTTCTTCGAAGTAAGAAACAGCTTCTAGAATTGTCATAGTTAATAATCACACAACATTTAAGATGCCAAAAATAGCAGGATAATAAGTACATTGACTAGGGTAATGTGTTTGCACCAAAGGTGGAAGGTGAATTGGCTTATCTTTTGTCTCCACAAAAATTATGATTGTCAAACAAAGTATACTGAAGTTTTGTTTTATGCTTTACTTTTTTTACTCTGCATTTACCAAAGAGCATAATTTTGTGTCGTAGGATGTCTTCATGGTGTTCATAGCCACATTGTCATTGTTGTTGCAACGTGTGGAATTTAATCGTACACAAAAAAGAAGGGAATAAAAAGGAAATTGGTTATACCATAATTTATTTTGGCAGTGAAGCAAAGAATAAGGTAAAAAAAATATCATTGAAATCAATCATGTGGGCAGTGTGCTCAAGTGTATAGAATCATTTAAAAACATAAGAGACTGGAGGATAAATCCAAAAATAAGAATAGGACATGCACTGTAGAATCAAGAAAGACATTACCAGAGTTGATCTCATCCTGAAACCAACACGCATGACATTTTGAAAGTACTGAGCTTCACATAGTACTCCAAATGACTGAATCAAGTAAAAAATACAATTGAGAAATTATATACACAAGCAGTTAGATTGTACAATATTCTTTAAGTATGCAAAGTTAATGGAATTCCCAAATATTCAAGATATTCAAGTTCTGAACTATCCAGTGGTGAGCAAGAAGAAAACCACATGATCATTGTTACATAATTTAGATAATATAACTTAGTTCAAGATTGTATGCTAAGCATCAAAAAAGTTGTTTGGCTTCTACATAGTTGAGTTGGGAATATCAAATGAATATATATATATATATATATATATATATATATATATATATATATATATATATATATATATATATATATATATATATATATATATATATATATATATATATATATATATATATATATATATATATATATATATATATATATATATATATATATATATATATATATATATATATATATATATATATATATATATATATATATATATATATATATATATATATATATATATTTCCTTCCAGAACAATGAACAACAATAACAACATACCCAATATAATCCCATGAAGTGGAGTCTAGGAAAGGTAGAGTGTACGCAAACCTTACCTCTACCTCAAAGATAGAAAGCTTGTTTCCAATAGATCCTCAGTGGATCTCAGTTGGATCATCTTACAGAAAATCACTAAGGACACACACTCAACCAAGCTACTGGCCATGGAAAATGATCTAGAAAGTTAAGGTGCCCGCCAAGGTGGCATGTTTTACTTGGCTCTTAGCAAAACAGGTTGTTCTCACACATAATAACCGTATGAAGAAGGACCTCCATTTGTGCTCCAGATGTTTTTTTGTGAATGTGAAGCAGAGACAATAAATCACCTCTTTTTACATAGTAAGGAAGCAGTGAAACTTTGGCAGATTTTCATCAATATAAGGGGATTCAGTTGGTCTATGCCGAAGCTTTGGCATGTTGGAATCGGGATGGAAATCAATCAGGGCATAGGGAGAGATGGAAGATTGTCCTAGCCTGCTTTTGGTGGACTATTTGGTAGGAAAGGAATCAGAGATGTTTTCGGAACAAGAGCTGCTCTATGGATAAGATGAAGTTGAATTGTTTAGCTCTTTTCTATTTTTGGTGTAAACATGAATATCCTTGTAACAACCCGTATCCGAAAACAGACCAACCAGCAGATATCCAGAAGTTGCA